TTTGATAACAATATTAATAATAAAAATAATAATAGCAGCACATGCGGTGTGGGGAGAAGCAGAGGAGACCATCAGTCATATATAGTTTCTGCCTGCAAAATATTGTTTCTAAAAGAGTACCTGGAAAGACACAAGGGTGAGACTTCTCTGCACTGGACACTGTGCCAGAGAGTGGGTGTAGGTACAACTGACAACTGGTTTGAACACATTGAGACAGTGGTTAACATGGGGCTTGTGTTATCATGTGKGATATGACCATCCCTACTGATCATACCATCGCAGCAAACCGACCACACATTGTGCTTCGTGACAAGAACAACTAAATGTGTTACTTCCTTGATGTGTCTGTCCTGGATGACAATAACATCTTAAAGAAAGAAGCAGAGGAAATATTAAAGTACAAGGATCTGGAGAAAGAAGTCCAGCGCATGTGGAACACAAAAACTTSAGGTAAACCAATTGTAACTGGAGCTTTATGAACAATGAAGAGAYGATTTCAAGAGCAACTGGACAAACTTCCATGTCGTCTCTGGCAAAGAAATGCAAAAGACCGTGCTGCTAGGGACCGCTCACATACTTCGACGAGTACTCGGCTGAACACCAGACAGCGAGTAAACCTGAGGGACCTGGTTGGACCCTGGCGGATGTACCAACAAAAAGTGAAGWATTAATGAGAAATAATAACAATTATAACAATGTATTTTGTTTGTTAGAGCCTTTCAAGACTCAAGGACACTTTACAAAATCAAAAACACAAATCTTGACAATACAAAATGGCAATAAAACAGACTACACTAAAAACTAGAGAGCTGAATGGTTGAAACCAAATGAGGGGTGTGTCGGTGATGTAAGAGGATCTGATGAACATGTGGAGGGTTTGGATTTCTTGATGTTAGAAAAAGGTCCGACTGAGGGKAGAAGGTTTAGATGAGGCAAGAGATGGAGTGACAGGACAAAGTTGCACATTACTTTTTCTGATTTTACTGATAAAAAAAAGCACAAGCGAGAAATAAAAGAATGAGCCAGCACAGACGAGCTACATCGTCG